TGGGCTCAGGTCATGATCTCACGGTTTGTGAGTTCAAACCCTGCGTCGGGCTTTGTGCTGACAGCTCAGAGCCTGGAGCCTGCTTTGTATTCTGTGTCTCCCTCTCTCTCTGCCCCTCCCTAGCTCACAGTCTGTCTGTCTCTCTCTCAGAAATGAATAAACATTAAAAAAATTTTTTTAATAATAATAATACAAAGACAAATAACCCAACTTGAAAACAAGCAAAGGACTTCAATACATGTTTCTCCAAAGATGATATACAAGTGGCCAATAAGCACCTGAAAAGATGCTCAATATCCTTAGCCATCAGGGAAATGCAAATCAAAGCCACAAGATACAACTTTACACTCACAGGATGGTTATAATCAAAAAGACAGATAGTAATGGGGTGCCTGGCTGGCTCAATTGGTAGCATGCAACTCTTTATCTTGGGTTGTAAGTTCAAGCCCCATGTGAGGTGTAGAAATTAAAAATAAAATCTTTTTTTAAAAAAAGACAGACAATAACAAGTGTTGAGGCTGTGAAGAAATTGGAACCCTTAGACACTGCTGGTGGGAATGTAAATTGTTGCAGCCACTTTAGAAAACAGTGGGACAGTTCCTCAAAAGCTTCAACATATATTGGAGCGCCTGGGTGGCTCAGTCGGTTGAGCATCTGACTTTGGCTCAGGTCATGATCTCATGGTTCAGGAGTTCGAGCCCCACGTCGGGCTCTGTGCTGACAGCTCAGAGCCTGAAGCCTGCTTCAGTCTGTGTCTCCCTCTCTCTCTGCCTAACCCACTCTCATTCTGTCTCTGTCTCTCTCAAAAATAAATAAACATTAAAAAAAAAAAGCTTCAACATATAGTCACCGTATGACCTACAATTCCACTCCTACGTGTATATACCCAAGTGAAATGAAAACATGCGTCCACACAATAACTTGTACACCAATGGTCATAGCAACATTACTCACAATAGTCAAAAAGTAGAAACAACCCAAATGGCCATCAATGAATGAATGGATTAATAAAATGTGTTATGTCCATGTAATGCAATATTATTCTGCACTAAAAAGAAACAAAGTACTGATAGATGCTATAACACAGACAGACCTTGACAACATTATACTAAATGTTGTCACTAAACTAAATTTACATTATACTAAATGTTGTCACTATACTAAAAAAGCCAGTCACAAAACGCCACATATTGTATGATTCCATTCACATGAAGTATCCAGAAGAGGCAAATCCATAGAGACAGAAAAGAGATTAATGGCTGCCAAGGGCTAGGGGTGATAGTAGCCTGGGGGTGTCAGCTAAGTGGTATGAGGTTTCTTGTGAGGTAATGAGAATGGTCCAAAATTGACTGTGGTGATGGTTGCACAGATCTGTGCATATGATAAAAGCCACTGAGTCATACACTTCAAACGGCTAAATTTTACGGTATGTAAACTGTATCTCAGCAACACTGTTGAAAACAGCAATCATGGGCACCTGGCTGGCTCGGTAGGAAGAGTATGCAACTCTTGATCTCAGGGTCATGAGTTCAAGCCCCACGTTGGAGGTAGAGATTACTAAAAATAAATAATAAATAAACTAAAAAAAAAAAGCGATCACAATGGTCAGGTATGCACTCTCACAGAGGTGGGTACGAGGCACAGAAGGCAGAGGCAAGAAAAGAAAGGAGGTCAGGATACACTTCCCAGGATGAATAGGAAGTTGTCAGTCATCAGGTTTGGTTTACTTTTCTAATTAAATTTTTCATTGGTTTTAGTGAGATCCCATGGGAAGGGAGGTTGCAGGAAGGGGGACATCTCAGGTATAGGGAATACATCTAAAAAAATCGTTTAGATTGTCCAAACATAAACCCCCAAGTGCAGAAGGGATGGGGACACCAGACGTGAATTACAGCACCTCCTTATCCATGGTTTCGTATTGTCAGGGGTCAGTATAGCTACATCGCAACACCTGCGTCAGTCACCTAACCTCATCGCCTCACATACACATTTTAGCAGCTCACATCCTCACAGGAAGGAGGGTGAGTACGGCCCAGTAAGACATTTTGAGAGCCAGAGAAACCACATTTGCGTAACTTTCATTACGGTACCTTGTTATCATCGTTCCATTTTATTATTGTTGTTGTTCATCTCTTATTGCGCCCAATTTATAAACTATCACAGGTATGGATGGATAGGAAAACATAAAGCATATACAGGGCTGGGACTGTCTGCAGTTTCAGGCAGCCCCTGGCGGTCGTGGCACGTGTCCCCCATAGATAAGGGGGGACTGCTATAGCAAAGCCGCAGGAGACACAGCGCAGTGGCCTTCAGTCCCAGCCAAGAACCTTGGACTGAATATTTCCTAGGAAAAGGAATCCGTGGAAGATGAGGAGCAGCGCAAAAACATTGTCACGTTTTTCTCAGAAAGACCGATGACTGCCAATGTGGAGACTAGACAGACGGGTGAGGAGTCCAGAGACAGGACAGCCCATTTATTTATATTAGCTGTTATAAATTGTTGTCACAGTCGATTTCATTGTTTCCTAAACATTAAGCTTGAAAACAGACGCAAAGAGAGATCAGTCCAGGACTGTGTCTTTCTTCAAGGCACAGCTGACAAGAGGGACTATTGAGAACAAAGCAGGTTGATACAAAAATAATAGTAGCAGTAGTAATAATAATAATAAAATCATATCTAACTTAAAATGTCCTGATGTTGTAAGGAAGAAATAATAATAATAGCCCCTTGTGAATTTAGGTCAGAGCTGGAAACAAAATGACAGTGACCCCACCCAGAAAGATAAACAAGGCACTTACCACAGGAACACGGGCATTTGGCTCAAATTCTGTGGAATCAGCATCTGAAGATTAAGAAATGAGTTCAATAATTCACTAATATTGCTGAAAAACAGTTTAAGTAATAAGAAATTTTTTTTTAATAAAAGTTATTAGCAGGGCACTTGGGTAGCTCAGTCGGTTAAGTGTCCGACTTCTGCTGAGGTCATGATCTTACAATCCGTGGGTTCAAGCCCCAAGTCCGGCTCTGTGCTGACAGCTCAGAGCCTGCAGCCTGCTTCAGATTCTGTGTCTCTATCTCTCTCTGCCCCTCCCCCACTCACGCTCTGTCTCTCTGTCAAAAATGAATAAACACTAAAAAAAATTTTTACGGTTATTAGCAAACAGCAGGCTTACCTTTCAAGTTAAGGCAGTTTCTTGCAAACTCTATCACTGCTAGTTGCATCCCGAGGCAAATCCCTATTTGAAAAAGCATATATAGAAAATGGATGAACATATTTTGTATTGCTTCATATTTCCCATTCATTTGCTTACTGTCAGTCTCCTCCATCTAGAATGCAGGGTCGAGAGAGCAAGACTGCCTGCCGGGTTCACTACTGTACCCTCTGCACTCAGAACAACTGTGGCAGAGACAGGAAGGGGGATTAGACGACTTGGACTTGAGGAAGAAGGAATTCAAGGTCAGAAAAGGGCAAGGGAAAACAGGGCAAGGTCCAAAGGCAAATCTGCCTCCTTCCAGAGGCCTCTAAATAGAGGCATAGGTGTGGGCTGCACAGCTGTGCCAGAGCACCTGATTCCTTCCGAGAATATCTGACAACACCCCGACTCAAGAGGGAGACTTCACACTCCCTCTTCTTGGAGGGCAGCCTCAGGCTGGCCAGCGGGCAGGGATCTGAGGAGTGGGAAGCCTGTGTCAGGCTGCTGGGCCCAGAACAGCCCTATAACCTCCCCGCCGAACACCGGCATCTCCAGGCAGGCTGGAACATGGTGGAGAGCAGGGAAGGGAGATCCACAATGGAAGCCAAGAGAGCTCGATGAGGAGAAAAACAGACACCTGTGTAGCTCCAAGCTGTCACACGGATGGGCCCTTCACCCGTCTCCGCATCCACCAATTCTGTCCGCTAAACGAATGCCAAGGAACACTCCAGATGTCATTATAGACACATCTAAGGTATACAAGGGATTCATCAGAGAAGAGCAATCCACATACTTGGCACACCAGAACGGAAGTTGGTGGGCATGAAACAGCTGGGTGCATTGGGGGGGGGGGACTTCAGAAAGTTCCATATGGCTAAGACATAAAGAGACACTGTGGTAAAGAGAAAGCTAAAGAGTTGCAAACTATTCTATGCAGTGAAATCTGAATAACACTAAACACGTTTGGACAAAAACCGAACAAGATGACTTTGGAAGAAAACAGTGGCCCACATGAGCTCAGACTGGGCCAACAGAGCAAGGTATCAGGGTATCTGACTACTCCTGGCTTCTCTTTTGAAAACGGATTGCAAGTGGAGAGCATCTAGGAAGCCACTCAAAGGACAGGAGGCAGTGGGGAAAATGAACAATGTGCTGATATAAAAGGCACCGAAGCCAGTCCACACGGTCACAAACCCACCAGTACAGCCAAGCACGGGGTGAAACACAGCCTGTCCCCACCTTCCTTCCCACACCCCCCAGCCCCTGCCCGGTTTGATTTCCCAGCTGCACGGCTGCCATTACCCCATCGAGGGGCCAATTCATCTGGGTTCACCGGTCCAGAAGCCACGTTTTGCAATTTGAGCAAAGGCATTAAAAAGACCTCGCTCGCTCTACCAAATTTTAGCAGAGCTCTTCCTGTGACGTTGGATGGTCTGACTGTATTATCTTTTCTAGTTTCAAGCAGTGAAAACACGGGTTTGGGCGCTGTGGCCGACTATTTGCTACTTGAATGTTCAAATCCGAGTTCACACCCTTCACGTGAACAAACCCTATGAAATGTTAGCCCTACTAGATATCAACAATCTAATAAACTCGTAGTTAGGATCCATAAACATGAGTTTTACCCAGGAAAGGGATCTTCTTTGTCCGTGCCCAAGAGATTGCCTGGAGTTTTCCCAACGTTCCTCGGATTCCGAAGCCTCCTGGCACAAGAACGCCACTGCAATCGATACAAGACGAGGGTGAATTTGACGTTGTCTTTATTTTTAAAACTCTTATTCTCAGCCGCTCGTGTTTACTGATCCCAAGTCCAACACTTGCCATGGTTGCTAGAGAATATGCTTGAGGTCTATTTTCAGAATTGATGACATGATTTCATCATGTCCTGAACTTTCTTCTTGAAATCCTCCCAATGTTATGAAGAAGATGGAATAACTTCACAACTGACTTCAATCTATATTTTCTGATAGGTCTTGGTGGTCTGTGAGCATACATAGTGACTGAGAAAACTCAATTTGCTTTAAAATGCCACTGAGAGAACTGTCTGAATAAAAATAGGTTAAGGTTCTTTTAAAAGTACTATTATAGGGGCGCCTGGGTGGCTCAGTCGGTTAAACGGCCAACTTCGGC